AAAAAATGAATGATAATAACAATAATAATGAATAATAATGATATGAATGAACAACAATAATAGTAATAATGGTAATAACAATAGTCATCATGATAATTATGACAATAATATCCATATCAATAATAAAAGATAATATTGATAGTGACATTGATGATAATTATGATAATGATAACAGTAACAATAATAGTAATGAATATGATGATAGTAACAATATTAGAATAGTAACATCATTATAACGATGATAATCATGACAATGACAATGATAACAATGACAACAAAATTAACTATGATAATAATAATGATAGTAATTATAATAAGGATAACAAAATAATGTTAATAGTGACAATAACAACAATAATGATAATTATAGTAATAGTAATAATAAAAAGATGACAATAACAATATTGGTGATAATTAGATAAAAATTAAGATAATAATAACAATAGTTATGGTAATGATAAAAATAACAACAACAATAATGATAATAATAATAATAATGATAGTAATAGTAATGGGGATAATAATGATGATGAAATTAATAATAGAAATAATTATAATGATAACAACAATAACGATAATAACCATGAAAAATAATAATCATGATTACAATAATAATAATAATAACAATGACGATAATAACTAACATAAATGATAATGATAGCAATGATAACAATGATCATGCACTTGAGATTAATACTTATGACGTCAAGTGTCATTTCATTTTAAATCGAAATGAAGCGAATTCAACTCCGCAGTCACACTGTATATATATTTAGAGGTACAGTGCATAGTATATTTTTTTCATTATTGTTTATTATTGTCTTCAAAAATTGTTGTACTGTACAACTCTGGGTAATTTTCTATATTACGTCTGCCGCCCCGACATCGACAATATTGGTATCGTTGGATTCTTCTCACTCTATGCAATGCAAATATGTAGGTTTTATTGCGCGGAAACCCCCTATAGCGACAAACTTGGCCTTGATAGCAGGGGCGACGATGTCGGAGCGGTGGACGTAACATTGGAAATTACCCTAATAATATAACCCACAGTGAAAATAACCATGGTTATTCACATGACTTTCCATTGCAGGGGGCCGCGACCCCCCCCCCCCCCACCCCCCGCCGAGGAAAAAAGAATCCACCACGTCTTTACGGCAGGACAGAGTGCACACGAACTAGATGCGTGGTTCCAGAGGAAGGGAAACTCGACCTTGAGGCTACGTTCTTATACAATAGATGGCGACATAGTCACTTCAATAACTATATGGGATAATAACTGCCACCTATTGGCTGACTCTAATATACGTCTTACTAGTGTACATATATCACTCGCATCATCCCGAGGCAATCGGTGTAACATCGAGAGAGGCGCAAAACCCGCCGAGCGACGAGGCGGGCCACCGCCGCTCTTCTGTTCATGGTATACCTTGTTCATCCTGATTATACTACAATCGTCTCTGTATACAATGCTGACCATGTCAAGGTTAGTATGCTGATTCAGTGGGAATGTTACGAGGTAATTGTAATATTACGTCCGCCGCTCCGACATCGACGATAATTGTGTAACGCTCTAGCCTGCCGGAATACGTGGTGGAGGTTTTGTTTCCCTGGGGGGGGCGGCGGCTTGGAATATGTTATTTTCGCTGTGGGTTATAATATTATTGTTATTTAACCCCGCATTTTCCCTGGAACCTTTCATGCCCTCCCCTGCTATCGGGGCCAAGTTTGTCGCTATAGGCGGGTTTCCGCGCAATAAAAACTATGTTTGCAATGTGGACAGTGCTAGGAATTCAACGATACCAAAATCGTCGATGTCGGAGCGGCGGACGTAATATAGAAAATTACCCAACTTTGCTATTAGTATTGTTTATATCATTATTGTTATCACGACCATCATTATCATTATTATCATAACATCAATAAAGTTTACGATTGCCAAATGATAAACAAAAATATCATAGTTACTGCGTAAGAAATCGTTTTCTACGTATCTCGCAATTTTCAGAGAATGAAAAGTTGACGGGGTAACTATTTTATTCCGTACTGAAACTTGTCTGTTTTTACTCCGCGACCGCAGAAAGAGGGATATTTGTGATGTGATAATGCCCAAAGAATCAGTTGATAATAAAAAAAATAGTTAATAAAGATTATAATGATAATCATGATAATGATAACAATAATGATTATAATAAACAACAATGATAATTGCGATAATGATAATGATAATATCAATGACAATTAGATAGTTTATAATGATAACAATAATAGTAATGGTCATGATAATGATAACAAAAATAGTTATAGTCATCATCAATGATTATGATAATAAAACGTAATAAACGTAAATGATAATAATAATAAAAATAATAACAATAATAATAATGAAAAATAATAACTATAATAATAACAAAAAAATAATCTATAATAATAATAAAAATAATAACTATAATAATAATAAAATTATAACAAATAATATCATAACCATAATTGTATGAAA